CCCCAAAACCCCAAAACCCCAAAACCCCAAAACCCCGATTATTTGTTTAACCATTGCAACATATTAAACCAGGGGGAAATAATTCTAAAATATCAAATCTTTTATAAATTTAGTAATTCAAGAATTTCAGCATAGTATCTTTGAGGATCATTTATGACCTTTTTCTGATTTTCATTTAAGATAAAGTCTTTAAAAACTTCTCTTAACCACTCTTGTGAGGAAAATAGGTTTTTAGCAACCAATAGCAAGGGATGCTTTGAGAAATATTTCTTGGACTTCTTGGTATAGTGACTACGATGATAGATAAACTCTTCAGAATTGCTCAAAGCAGATTCTCTCAGTGTGTTTCCGTAAGAATTTAACACTTCCCTTCTCTCCTTCGTAGAGATACTAAGTTTCAGCAGAATCCCGTAGACCTTGAAGAAATCTTTTTCTGAAACTGCATGCCCAAGGGCTTGCTCATAAGTAGATTTCAGCAATTCATATAACACAGATAAGTTCTTCGAAGGATACTTCATTAGATTTTCTCCCTGAAATTTACTGATATCTTCTTTAAATTTTCTTCCGACCATTTGGATAAGACCTCTAAAACCAGCTTTACTCATGTTATCTGTTCTGTATCTATGTGGAGATTCATTGTTCTCTTTGCTCTCTTCAAATGGTAAACTAGTAGAGCCATTCATCCCTTCGGTGTTCTCAGAATTAGTACTATTATGTTTCTGATCTTCTTCAGTATCATTAGTAGATTTAGAAGGCCCAGATGAAAATTCTTCCTTGTTCAAAGTATCACAACCAGGGTAGTCAGCTTTAGCTTGCATATCTTCATTTGAACTTAATTCAAGAAGTCCTTCATCATCAAATTCAGAATCTTCCTTGCCCTCCTTGGCTACATGAGGTGGAATAAGCTGATATTCAGGGTTTTGCTGAGTTATTTCTGATTTAGATGGCGAGCTTGAATTCTTTTGTAAAAGAAGCCCAACGAATTCGTCTCCTTCAGATTTGAGAAGAATTTCTTCTTGGCAGTCCCAGTATGCTGAATTCATTTATTATTATTATTCTGAGGTTTTAATGGGGTTTTGGGGTTTTGGGGTTTTGGGGTTTTGGGGTTTTGGGG